GTTAAGTAGAAATATATATTTTAATAAATATATATAATATAAAATATAAAATTTATATATAAAATTCAATTCAATATAAAATTTTGAAAAATAAATAATTTATAAATTATTATTAATTTTGAAAAGTAAATATGATTCATATATATTTTATATATATTTTTATATTCAATTAACATTTTTATTTAACATTTTATAGAGATTCATTAACTGTATTAAACGAGATATCATTATATTAAGTTTTTTATTATTATATTTTATTACATTCATGTGAATTATATTGCAGATATTTTTACATCATTGTTATCAACAACAATCACAAATACAACTGTAAATTTAATTTCACTTCTTATTAAAAAAAATATAAAGTTTATACCCATTTTTGTGGAATATATAACAAAATCTAAAAATATAGAAAAAGGTAATATTGTATTACCTATAGTTGCAAGTAATTTAAATTTTAAATGGGATCTAGATTTTTTACAAAATTTGAGAAAACATTATGAAATTGAAATAATATCTTATTTGTGTAATCCAAAAGATACAAAATCTTGGATAGAAGAAAATGTTATTGCAATTTGTTATTTAATTAAAACTACATTTTCTTTTAAAACATGTCACGATATATGTAATATTATTTTACAAATTGGTGATAAATTAGATATGATATCTATACAATATATACAAATTCTCCAAAGTATATATAATAAATCTGCTATCTTAGAATTGGAGAATGAAAAATTGATCATGAATTTGATACAAATTTTTCTTCATATAATTACTATAACTTTAAAAAAAGAATCTAAAAATATTCAAAAACTTCAAATTCTTTGTGAAGTATTAAATGATGCTGTTAAACATTTAAAAGATAAAAGAAAAGATTTTAGATTTGAAGCATTAAATAATAATCATTCATGGTCACAATTTATACGATTTTCTTTAAAATTTGGTCTAAAAGAAATAAAAAATAATAAAAAACCAGTGAAAATATTAAAAACATTAAGTACTTTATGTAATATTGCATATAAAAATAACAGTGATGATGAACATGTCAAAATTTTGTTTGAAATGGCAACTTCTCATTCAGAATTTATTAATATTATGTTGGATTCTTCAGATATTAAAAGTAAGATATTAATAATTAGGTATATAATAATGATAATATAATTGTTATATACAATTATTTATTTATTTATTTCTTTTATTTATTTATTTTTAGGAGATTTAGTAGAGTTGTTATGGATTCTTATGCAAAAGAATAAAATAGTTATGCTATTGAGCCATGTACCTGTTTATTTAGCAGCATATAATGCTACTTTAAGTGAAGCTGATCAATTCATTTTACTTGTAAGAATTATAAACAGAAAATTTATATTAATTCTTAAAAAAAAATATTAATGTATAAATTTATTTTATACAGATTTTACAATATTATGAAAGTAATAATATTGATATTTATGAATATCGGCCATATGTATGGGGAAATATGGCTGCAACATATTACAGTGTGAAAAATGATACATATACTTCTTTATGGAGGGAACCGTCTATTATTCAAGTTTTAAGTTTATTTGAGGAGGATATAGTAAACAATACTATAAAGAAATATCCTATAGATAGAGCTTTGAAGGTAACTTCATTTAAATTCTAAAAATATTTAAAAATTTATAATATAATTAATATAAATAGTTAATATAATTAAAACCATAATAATTAAATGTGAGTATTTTTGAATATATGATTAAATATTTTCATTAAATATGAATATGTGATTATTTTTTATTATATATCAATATAATATTGATTTATTTATTTTTTATAGAATAATGAATTATACAAAAAAGATGATGTATATGATCCAGCATTTTATTTGCCATTATTATATTTTTTATTATCAGAAAATAATATTGTATTATGTCATAAAGTTGCTCAAAGTGGAGCACTAGCATTGATATTTGCTGCATGTAGTAGTAAACATTCTGATGTTCGAATGATAGCTTATACTATTATTTCTAGATATTATAGCCATTTGGAAACTTCTAAGTATTTTATATTATATTAATTAATAATAATTTAATACATATTGTAATACATATGATATAATTTTATATTTTTTTTCATTTTTAGTTCAAAAACCAAATTATTATGGATGCGACTAATAGATGCATTGCGTTATGGTATTATATCATTGCAATCGGAACTTAATACCATACGTTTAAATTGTTTAATTTCTACATTTTTAGCAAGAACATCTTTGATAACTACACAACCATTGCATCCACTTTATTCAACTTTACAAATATTTTTGGTAGCTAAACCAGCATTAGATATAAATACAATACCTGAATTATTACAACTTTTTCATAGTTCCGATATGCAATATAAAGTACACAGATGTTGGATTTTGGAAAATATTCGCGATAGTATGAAAACAGAAACTGAACTGGAAATCGCTTTTAAATGTGTTTTATTTAAGATACTTTTAAATTTTTATATTTCTAGTCTTTCAGATTCAGATACGAAGGTAAGGTTTAAAAATTAAAAAAAATTTCTTTTATTAAATTGATTTAACTTATTTTTTATTTTAGAAACTTATCTTGGAGATTATTAACGTTACATTAAAAATTACAAAAGCTTCAATACTTTTTATAGAATGTTATGGATTACTTCCTTGGTTATTAGAAGTTGTTAAAAATTTAAACAAATATGAAGTGCAACATATCGAACTTATAATAAAAATAATGAACAAACTTCTTAATACTATATTGAATATAAAAGGAGATGTTATCCATTACAAATTAATGCTTTTAAATATTGCATTATGTTTAAAGTCATATTTAGTTAAAGACATTAAAATTAAGACCTTTATATTATATATTGATATTTTACAAAAATTAATTCTTTTAAAGCATATAAAAATAATTGTTACTAAAGAATGTATATTAGAAATTCTTGAATTCTCTAAAAAATTATTGGATAATATAGAGGAATGTGACGATATGTTACGTTTCGGTTGTGAATATGTAACTAAGATAGATTTTTTAAAAAATGATGATGAAATTGAGATAGCAAAAAATAGTTTAAGAACATTAATATGGACTTGGTGTATTCATGAAATTGATTAACTTATTATTTTTGTATTTTTCTAAAAATTATTTTAATTAAATTTTATTTTTTTTGTAAAATAACGTTCGTTAAACATTAGCATAATTAATAAATATTACTAAATAAGAAATTTTTCAACAATTTTGTATTTTTTTATTTAATATTACTTTCAAATTTTGCTCCACTATATCATAAGAATAATTTGTGATGGCACATATAAGAAATTTAAGAACTTCTTGGAAAACATGTATGTACAAAAACATCTGCATTTGGATCATTATATTTATCTTGATGATGTCTCAATACTAACGTAACTTGGATAATATCTAATTCTTCGGAATATGGTTCACCATTATAATATTCCCTCATTTTTGGTAATGCACGATGATTTTTCTGCAGATCTCGTCGTGAAAGTGTTACTGTCATGGATGTTGCTCCATTATTCAATTCTCGCATCGCTTGTTGCGCCATTTCATGACTTAAAGCAAGATGGGCAACATTATTTTGATCAGATTTGTTTAAAAAACCAGATTTCATTGAATTCGTTGTTCGCGAATAATTTTCTACGCTATCGCATGGTCCTGTAGCAGCTGCATTGGATGCATGACCTCTGGGATGTCCATAAGCCTTACATGTATGACTAAATACATTTTGCGATTTATCAAGTATGATACCTGCTGCTTTAGGTGATGTGCCAATATATCGAGCACCACCAGTCATTAATAATTTTTCATTGTTATTATCTAAGGATATAAATTCATCGATTTGATCGATCAACTGTTTGATATTATTCGTTAAAAAATCAATTACGTTATTTCTTAGATCATTAGTGCTTTTTCCAATTTGAGCAGCGATGACTGCGAATAGACACGCGTTTAGATCAAGTTCGACATTAATAGGATCTTTATTGTTCAATAATGTCCAATGTCCTACAGAATTTAATGATTGTTCATGGTATTCGATATCGATAAAATTCTCATTTGAACTTTCATTCGTTTGATCATTTATTATTCGATACAAATTATTCATTGATTTCCATATTCGGATGGGTCTCTTTGTAAGAGAACTTAATGCGTTTATATGAATTAAATTAGCCGGTCCGTAATTTTTCAAGTCATTAATTATATATTTTGCTAATCTCATTTTCCATAATTGCTTATATTTCATATTTTCATACTTATCTCTCGATTTTTTATGACGCTCACGTAATTCTCTGTCGCGATGTTTTTGCTCTTGTGAATTATCGTTACGGAAAAAATTTATGATCTCGTTAATATCGGACATTATTTTTTTTTTCATATTTTTAATAAGGATTTTATTTTTAATTTTTAATGCATTTTATTGTATTTTATTCAAATAATTTTTTTCTTCTTTTATTTTATTATCTTTTTTTTTTTTTAAGAATTAGAAGTGTTTATATTTTCTAATAACGATTAATAATATTAATTTCATGAAATTGTTCAGAAAGGAAGAAAAGAATAATACAAATTAAATAAATAATAAAACAAAAAATTAATTATTAAAATAATTAAATCAATGAATAATTGATTAATAAAAATTACGAAAAATGTATGTAAAAAAATTTGTTATTCAAAATAAAAAAATAAGAAACTGTAATATGCAAAAATACCTTAATGCAAAAAGAATACATCTTTGGTTTGTATTTCGTATAATTTTGATAATTGAATACTAGAATTTCGAAATTTTTACCAAATATCTGAATAAACGTAAATTATATTTTACATTTTCCGTTTAACCTTTATCCTAAACATTTCTTATAGATATTTCTGCTATGCTCATTTTTTTTAAACATATTTTTTATATATTTCATTCGACATTCATTTTTTAAAAATATGTTTAAAAAAAACGGAACGGAGATAAAAAATAATTAGGACATTGGCAAATTTAAAGAAAAAAAAAAAAAAAAGAAAAACTATATCGAGGAAAAACGAGACGAATGGGAATTCTCGATTAAACGATTCTCAATTTTTCAATTTGGAAACTTTGAAAAATTTGTAAATAAAACGGAACAAATTCATTCACAAAAATGAAGAAAATCGGTAATAAATCCACGTATATATTATACACCGAATATAAAGATATTAAAATCACATCGCTCGGAATCATCACATCTCTGTTAATAAAATTACCTTTGAAAAATATGCATGTTCGAAATACATAGAGAATAGAGAAAAATTTCGTGCTCATATATATATATTTTTTTTTTCTCAAAAAAGAGGGGAAAACAATATAAATGGGAATCATCTTATCCAAAGTTCCTCATTGCTCAAGGATAGGAAGTCTTGGTCCCGAAAGTCTGAAAATCTCGCGAAGAAGGAAGCCGATCGTAAGCAACGACGCAAAATCACGATAGCAGGAGCGGGAAGTACGAGCGGATCGGTTTGCATTTATTGCGGGCACCGTAGCGTCTCGAAGGCGTACTCTCCCGAGAGAAATCGTTGTAGAAGAGAAAAAGAGGGTTTAAGGGCCAAGAGAAAAAGGAAAGCGTTCGTGGCGGTTGGAAATGAGCGGGGGATCGAAAGGCGGGGAAGGGGGTGAGTCGCCGGCCGGTGGTGGGGGATCCTCCGGATCCTCGATCCTGCACCGTCCCTCGATCCATGGATCAGTCTCGGTGCAACCGTTTATTCGGATAGGTTGCTGTCGCTTTCGCGCCCGTTCCGTCATCTCGATTGATTTAAATGTTTCGTGCGGGAATCGGATTCGAATCATCGTCGGGCGAAACGGTATGAGCTGGTTTTTGCGCGACTCGTCTTGTTTACCGGTGATTCTGCCACAGGTCTCGAGCAGAAACGGTTTGATAACGGTTGTCGTTGTAAATACTGTAACGCACGGAGAGAGTGTAATTGCGTGATGGAAGAACGACGAAATGTAATGGTTGATCGAGAGCGATCATGCGTGTTTTCGATCGGATCATTTTGTTATTCGAATGTTCGATTGATTTGAATGTTGCCGGCAAGCCGCTTTCTCTGCCCTGTTCTTTAGTGTCCGCAATAAGTTTTGGAATGGTGGAAACTTTTGTTTAAAAAATAAAGAAAAAAAAAACGTTGATTTCGCATAAATTTTCTTCGATTCGAAGATTTAAATAGTGCGACGGAAGGAAAATAAAATATAATGCTCGTGACTGATATATTTACGTAATTATTTGTTGGAAGTAGTTTTTTCAATCGTGTAATTCGCGATTACGTGTAATTAT